GGGCCTCCTGGGAGCCCACGAAAGTGACGGCAATTGCGCAGTTGGCAGTCCCCCAGGCAGCCGCAATGCCTAGGCTGGATGTGGGTACCCACCAAAGTGGCGACAGTTGCGCAGTTCGCAGCCTCCCGGAGAGCTGCGAGGTCTCGGCTGTCTGTGCGTACTCCCGCACTCCGCCGTGCCTCCCAGGAGCCCACGAACGTGGCGACAGCAGTTGCGCACTGTCCCACCCCCAAGGAGCTGCGAGGTCTGGGCTGGGTGTGCTACTCCCCCACTCCGCCGTGCCTCCGAGGAGCCCACGAAAGCGGCGACAGTTGCGCAGTTGGCAGCCTCCCAAGAAGTTCAGACAACGGGGAACGCGGGAGGCAAGGATGCAGGAGGAGAAGGGGGGATGGGGGAGGAGAGGCGCTTAGAGACCACGTGCTCTACCCAAAACGAGACACGAGAACCCATCACGAAGGAGGGCTGGGAATAAAGCAGGAGGTAGGAGGCGCGAGGGCGGAGAAGGGGAAGGAGGAGAGGAGGAATGAAGACAACATTGCTCGATTGAAAGCGAGAACCCAACACAAGAGGGCTGGAAACAATTCAGAAGCCGCGACGATGTGGCTCTCGCTTGGCTTCCTGAGGCTCACTGACCCAAGCTCAAGACTGTGCAACTGCTATTGTATGGACGGCGGTCGGCTCCGTTTTCGAAACGGGGATATCGTTTTAGGATTCGTTGAACCTTATCGAACTGTGTAGACTCCCACCAGCCCTTGAGCGTAGGTAGCGCAGGCAGCTAGCTCCTCCAACTTCACTCTTCCCCTTCGGGGAAAGATGTACCTCTCCCCTGACCCCGTCTCCCTGAGTCTGGACGGGCCTGGTCGCGGAGGGCTGGAAATGGCCATGGCCCCAGATGGCCCCAGATAGCCCAAGATGGCCCCCAAGCTCGCGCAAGATAGCCCAAGATAGCTTAAGATAGCTTCTAACGTACCTCCCAGAGGCGCTATGACTGTTCCCAAAACGTCTCCACAAGGACCCCGCCGAGAGGCCAAAATCTCTCCAGTCTCTAAGGAACCTCCGTGTGGTTTGCCTTCTCTCATTTCCGTTTCTGATGGGCTTCTGAGGCTTCAAGATGGCTCAAAGATAGCCCAAAAGAGCCCCAAGAGAACCCAAGAAGGCCCCGAGAGCGCCCAAGAGCGCCCCAAGAAGGCCCAAAGAGACGACTTGTTGGCTCCCGATGAAGGATGGGAGGGGGAAAGCGGGGGAAAGCGCAATCAGCCCCCAGGAACGCCCCCGACGCCCCCGAGGGGGCCGCAAAGGTCTCCAAAATGCCCCAAAGAGGGTCCCAGGATGGCCCAAACAAACCGGCAAAAGGCTACCATCGACAGTTCCGCGAAAACGTTTCTGGTTGACTCCTGGGTCTGCTCAGGCTGATCCCGATTTTCGGTTTGACGGCTGTCCATCCTTCATTCCACTGCGTGCTCCCACACTTCCCTGATCCATGCAACTCGCCTGGGCATCGTTGCTGGATGGGCTGGTGGGGATACGCCGAGCGTTAAACATTCACTTTTTGCGTCAGCGTCGAGGCAGAAGAGCTGCTCCAGCGGGTGGCGATCCGGGCGACCGATATGGGAATTGCATTCAAAAATGACACGGGTGGGGGCGGATCCGTTTAAAGACGGGCCTCTCTCTGAACACGTCAATGAAGTTGACCCTCCTACCTCTTCGCGTTCAGTCTAGCTGGCGGGAGGAGGAGAAGAAGGAGTAGGAGGAGGAGGAGGAGGAACAGGAGGACGAGGAGGATGAGGAGGAAGAGGGGGAGGAGGAGCAGGAGGAGGAGGAGGAGGAGGAGGAGAAGGAGAAGGAGGAGGACGAGGAGGAGGAGGAGGGAGGAGGGAGGGCTCATCCTTGACAGCCAGCGGGGTCGCGCCGGAGAGGCAGGCCCACCGGCCGCTCGTCGCAGAAGGGAGCGCCCCCCCGCAGCGGGAAGGAAGCTGACAGGAACTGCTGGAGAGAAGACTTTGGGACGGGAGGCTGTGCTGCAGCACCGCTGATGCATCCTGTGCCTGCTCTAGCCCCCCACTCCTCCTCGGCATCGTGACTATCCTCCTCCTCCTCCTCCTCCTCCTCCTCCTCCTCCTCCTCCTCCTGCTCCTCCTGCTCCTGCTCCTGCTCCCTCCCTCCTCCTCCTCCTCCTTCCTCTCCTCCTCCCTCCTCTCTTCCTCCTCCTACCTCCTCCTCCTCTCCTCCCTCCTCCTTCCTCCTCCTCCTCCTCCTCCTCCTCCTCCTCCTCCTCATTCCTCCTCCTCCTCCTCCTCCTCTCCTCCTCATCCTCCTCCTCTTCCTCCTGCTCCACCTCCTCCTTTCCAACCCCTTATAATCCTCATTTTTCTCCTCCTCCCCCTGTTTCCCTTCTCATCCTCTCCCGTTGGCCCCTCCTCCCCACCCTCCCTCCCTGCATCCCCGCCTCTTCCATCCCCCCTCTGGATCCTCTCCCCCTTGTTCTCCCTCCCCCCGCCATCCTCCGTCAATCTTCTTTTTGTCTAAGTCCTTCGTGTTGCGCACCCAGACGCGTCACTAGGGCCAGCCAGCCGTTTCGCCCGAAACTTCCACACCACCTGTCTGCCTGAAGCTTAAACTTCCAGCACAAAGCAGAGCACAAACGGGTTCCGAAATGGTGCTCTCGCCTTGGCGAAGCGCGCATAGGCGCACACCCGTCTCCAATATATCCAACAATTGCACGGATCGCAGGCGGCTTTATCTCGAACTGGGGCTCCCACTGAAGACGTCCTTTTCAAGTCTGCTGACCCGAATCGCGCCAGCGTGCGTTTGTCCATCGAAACCCTTCGATACGGCGCAGGCGATGTATGATCTCTCGGTGGGGCTGAACAGCGTAACACACACGCAAACACACACACACACACATCGGGCTAACACACGCCCTGAGAACAATCGACCAAAGCTCACACCTGCGCGCAAATCGGCTTACCCGGATGGGGGGGGGTCCCTTCCAACGTTCCCGCCCTGGACTTCCTCGAATTCTCTTGCCGGGAAATCCAGATGCTGCAGGACTTGCACGGGAGGCGGCCTGATCCTGGTCAGGGGGGGCTTTCTCTTGAGACCTCCTCCATGTTGCTGCGGCCCAAACTTCCCCATTGTACCACATCTGCACGGATGGACGGCAAATCCTCTTCTTCGAAACGGCGCTCTCGCTGGGCACTCCATTGAACGGAAGACTCTACCCATCGGTCGGAAGAAGTGGGTAGAAACATGAAGTAGGAAGGCGTTGAAATAGACTGGGTGTCCGCCCGCCCCCTAAGGAACATGGAAAAGGTGAAGCCACTCGATCATTGAACTAGGAAGGCGCTTAAAGTAATTTGGAACATGACTCCAAGAATACCGGAATTCAGCGACCGATGGGTACAGCTTTGCGTTTCTTCTATCCAAAAAGAATTTGAAGGCTGCGTCCTGGACTGGGACGGCGACGGGGCCAGAGGATAGCCGTCAACGGTGAAGGTGCGCCATGCGCGGTCGTCGAGTCTGTAGACCCCGCGCCCAACTGAAGTGCCCAGCGTCGTGAGGCCGCGGTGCTGCGGTAGCCAGGGATGAACCTCCAGGGTTCGAACTCGCGGCTGACAGACGCGCCTTCCGCTCCTGCCCGCTTTGCGGGTGGGTGGGTTCGGCTCGGCTCGGCTCTCCTCGGAAGCAAGGTGCACGACCTCGGCAGCCGGGGGGGGGAGGGGCGCACCTAATGAGCAGCACAACCAAGGTGTTTGGAGTCCCGAAACGGTGCGGTGACAGACCGTGCGGTGACCTCGAAATCCCCCAAGACCTCACCGCACGGTCCGTCACCGCACGGACTTGGGACCCCGGAGGCCCCCGTTGCCCGAGACGTCCTCGGAGAACGGCCCGAGCCCCGAAACCGTGCGGCGACCCCAAATTCCTATCGACTCACCGCACGGTGTGGTCACCACCCCGTTTGGGGACCCCCGAAGGTGGGTGGCCGGGAGGGTGACGCCCGGGACACAGCTTCGATCTCTGAAGGCTGAAGGCCGATCCCTTCCCGAGGAGAAGGAGGAGGAGGAGGAGGAGAGAGGAGGAGGAGGAAGGGGAGGAGGAGGAGGAGGAGGAGGAGGAGGAGGAGGAGGAGGAGGAGCAAGAGGAGGAGGAGCAGGAGGGAGGAGGCACAGGAGAAGGAGGAGGAGGAGGAGGAAGAGGAGGAGGAGGAGAGGAGGAGAGGAGGAGGAGGAGGAGGAGGAGGAGGAAGAGGAAGGAGGAGGAGGAGGGAGGAGGAGGAGGAAGGAGGAGGAGGAGGAGGAGGGAGGAGGAGGGTGGAGGAGGGAGGAGGAGGAGGAGGAGAAGGGAGGAGGGGGAGGAGAAGGAGGAGGAGGAGGAGGAGGGGGAGGAGGAGGAGGAGGAGGAGGAGGAGGAGGAGGAGGAGGAGAGAGAGGAGGAGGAGGAGGAGGCGGAGGAGGAGGAGGAGGAGGAGGAGGAGGAGGAGGAGGAGGAGGAGGAGGAGGAGGAGGAGGAGGGGGAGGAGGAGGAGGAGGAGGAGGAGGAGGAGGAGGAGGAGGAGGGGGAGGAGGCCTGGGCAGCGGTATCCTGCCCGAGCGGCAGGCCCGCGGAGCGCTCGCCCGTCGGCGGGAGGCGCCTCCCGCAGAAGTGGGCCAGGGGACCCGGGGCGGGGGGGGGCCACTGCAGCATTGCTGATGCGTGTTGGGCCTGCACGGGTCCTCCGCCTCCTCGTCCAGTCCTCACGCTCCTCCTTCCTCATCCTACTCCTACCTCCCTCCTCCTCCTCCTCCTCCTCCTCCTACCTCCCTCCTCCTCCTCCTCCTCCTCCGCCGCCTCCTCCTCCTCCTCCTCCTCCTCCTCCTCCTCCTCCTTCTTCTTCTCCTCATCCTCCTCCTCCGCCTCCTTCTCCTCCTTCTCCTCCTCTTCCCATTCCTCCCATTCCTCCCATTCCTCCCATTCCTCCCTCATCCTGCGGACTCATCCGTCCCCCTCCTCCTCCGCGTCGCCAGTGCGGCACCGCAGCGGCGAAGTCCTGGCCAAAAGCCGAAGGCGCAGAGGCTGCGTTCCTCGAATGGGGGCGCGAGGGCGTCAGGTCAACAGCGCCCCCCACGTCGCACCGCGCCGCGCCGCGCCAGGAGGGATCAAGCACCACGAAGGCCCAGAGCCGACCCTAGCAACCCGCACGGACCTCCAACAGAGCATGTTCGTGTCGCTGTTTGTTGTGTTTGTCGGGGAGGTTCGGATTTGGAGGGGCTCGAACGGGCATCACGGGGCCGTCGGGCAAACGACGGAACCAAGGCAGAAATTTGACGCGAGTCCCTACTGCAAACATCTCACGAAGACTGGACCGTGAAAATTCGTGCCCGTACTGACGATCAACGCCCGCAACATCAAGTCGCGGCAGGCTCGAGCCTTACCCTTCTGCAGCTCTCCGACGCGAGCCCTCTCTCCAAGTCGCCAAACTTTACGCACCGCGCCCCACGCCCCGCGACGCGGGACCACCTCCGCACCCTCGCGCCACCCCTCCTGGAGAAGAACAGCTGGTCTGGCCTGGACGCGCGAAGCGCGATCATCTTCGCGCCCCTAGAGTGACCCAGCTTGCCCATCGATTGGAAGAAGTGGGTAGAGACACGAAGTAGGACGGCGTTGAAAGTAGATCGGGCTTACGCCAGCTCCCCGAAAAGGGACGAGGGAAAGCCGCTCAACACTTGACAGGACGGAGCCTCAGGTACTTGAGAATTTGGGGATCCAAGGTACCGCTCCTCAGATGTTTCAAATTGCTCCTCCTCCACGTCATCGCTCCTCCTCCTCCTCCCCCTCTTCCTCCTCCTCCTTTTCCTCCTCCTCCTCCTCCACCTCTTCCTCCTCCTCCTCCTCCTCCTCCTTTTCCTCCTCCTCCTCCCCCTCCTCCTCCTTCGCCTCCTTCTCCTCTTCGTCCTCCTCCTCATCGTTCTCCTCCTCCTCCTCTTCATCATCATCATCATCATCAGGATCATCACCATCATCATCATCATCATCAGCAGCATCAACACCACCATCATCAGCAGCAGCAGCACCATCAGCAGCACCATCATCACCACCATCAGCGCCCGCAGCATCAGCAACAGCATCATCATCCTACCAATAAAACTAAGAATATAATCGGATAGTAATAATACGGATAACAATTATAAATATGGTAATAACCAGCCGCAGCAGCATGATCTGAATCAACATCAGCGTCATCATCAGCATAGACAGCATCATCACCACCAGCCTCATCAGCACCAGCAGCATCATCATAAGCAGTGGCACCATCATCATCATCATCATCATCATCACCATCATCATCATCATCATCATCATCATCATCATCATCCGCACCATCAGCGTCATCACCATCAGTCGCATATTCAGCATCATAATCTACATCATCAGCAACATTGTCAACATCGCCATCAGCATCGCCATCAACATCCGCATCATCATCACCGTCGGCATCATCATCATCATCATCGCCAACATCATCATCACCCTGATCATCCGCATCATCGTCATGACCCTCCTGAATAACAGCATCAGCATCATAAACCCCAACAGCATTAGCATCATCACCAGGATTGTCAACAACATCTACAACAACATCAACATCAGCATCACCATTAGCAGCATCAGCATAAACATCAGCAGTAGCCCCATCAGCATCATCAATATCACCGTCATCACCATCAGCAGCAGCATCAGTACCATCAACATCATCAGCATCAGCATAACCAGCATCATAATCATCATCAGCAACACCATCATCATCATGACCCTTCATCATCGGCAGCATCATCACGATCCGCATCGTCAATACCCGCAGCGTCATAATAATAGTGAGCATAGCCCCCATTTCGTCATTAACATCATCAGCATCATCATCCCCATCAGCATCATCAGCATCAGCATCAATATCAACCTCAACATCAGCATCCTCAACATCACCGTCATCATTACCACCATCCATTGTTACCCAATTCAAGCCCAACAGGGCCGATATGATCAAGATGTACAGGTGGTAAACGTGGCACTCCTAGCATCGGTTCCAAGGAACGCCTTGGGCTCGAGGATTCCCGAGAGACCAAGGCGGCAAAGAAAGCGGCGGTAGCCGTTGAAGCATGAGGTTCGACTGTCCGTTAAGCGGATAAGGAGAAAAGAGAATGCGGGACGCGCGCGTTATTTCCCTTCGATCCCATACGGCTTCTGATCAGTCAACTTAACGTTCAAGTCAGTGCGCACATGTACATAGTCGGCGGCAGGGAGCGCATGGCAACGACCCCCCCCGCGGAGGCCCCCGCCGCAGTAGCCGACCAGGGCCGACGCAGCACCATCCGGACCTAACGCCTCCGACGGCGCCGAATACAGGCAAGCCTGGGCGCGAGGCTCACACAGCCGTCAGCAGCCCAGCTCGCCTCGTTGAAGTCACCATGTCGCCATGGGCTCACGGTGCTTTCACTGGTTTAGCCACAAGATCGCCATGGGCGCCCGGTGCTATCACCAGTTCCATCCGTCGCCGCGTCGCCACGGCCAGTCCCTGGCGTCGTGGCGGCGACCGCCCCAGCTGTCGCGACCGCCTTTGCCGCGGTCGCTGATGCCCGCCCCTTTGTTCCTGGCCCGGCTGGAGGGGCCCCTCCACGCACTCCAGGCGCAGTCTACTGGGGGGCGGCTTTGCCTCCAATTGTGCCATGGGCGCGGGGTGGAGTCGGGCCGGTTGCGCCGGGGCTCGGACGAAGCGGCGCCGCTTGGGGCCGAGTCGCGGATGTCCGCGCAGCGGCGCGGCCGCACCGAAGGCGGGGACGCCGCGCGGGCACGTTTGCCATCGCCTGTCTCTGCAGCCCCCGGGGGCGGAGGGGCCGCACGACGCGGGGCGCTGCCTTTGCCAGCCCCTGTCCGCGATGATGCGGCCGCCCTGTTCTCCTGCACTGAAGGGCGACTGAGGGCGCGTTTTCGGCCGGCAGAGCGCCCCGACCTGGCGGTCGCCACCCTCGGTTGATTTCTCTGCGCCTCCTGTTCAGGCTCTAGCGTCGCCACCCCGTGTTTTCCCACATGTTCATAGCATCTACCGCAGCCTCGCACATATGCAGCGGCCACCGCTCAACCGCGGCGCGCTGGAAAGTGTCCGGCGTCAGTCGCAGTCCGCGCCTGAACGCCTTCGCTTCCGACTGCTGCAGGTACTGCACGCACGCCTCAATCGCATGGGCGTCGGTGGAGACTAGCGGCACGTCTGTCCGATGCTGGTAGATGTCTCTGAAGACGAGGCCCAGCATCTCACGATGTGCCTTGAGTTGGTTAGCTTCACGCAGCAGACTGGCTCGGCATCGCTCTACTTCCTCAAGATGAGTACGCATGGCGCCATCATCCGCAGCCTCTCCGTCGATCTCTGTCCATCTGAAGTCCTTGGTGAACTCGATGGCTACTCTGTAGATGCGCTCCGACATCCATCCCATCTTCGACGCGCGTACGTCGGGATCATCGACAGAGAACCCTGGCGGCTCATACCACATGAGACGGATCTTTTCCTCAAAGGTAAGCACGTCGACCGCTGGATGGCATTCCTCTGGCACCTCCGTGACGGCGAAGTACGCGACGAGTTCCTCGGCCGCCCTCTTGACACTGTAAACATCAAGAGGTCGCATGTTTTCAGCATAGTGGACGTCGCGATGTGGAGCGTAGGACCTATCTCGTCTGCGCATGGCGCGCCCACCAAATGCTCTGGGCGCGTCTCATGATCGCACGCGCCTCGCGCGGCTGCGGGATCTGCCACGTCTGCCATGGGCAGGAGCAGATGGCCTCACCGAGGCCGAGCGACGCGCTCTTGTTTTCTGGAGGTTGTCTTCTTCCTCTTCTCCATATTCCTCCTCGATACCGGCCAATCCCTCCTTCGGTTGCCAGTGGCATTCAATACCGTCTTGAATCTCACCCTAAAGGTCGCATAGTGTCTGCGGCAGGTCGCGGCGGTGATCATGGCACCAGGCCTCCCATCCCGCGCTGGGAATGAATTCGTCGCGAGAATCGGGGCCCGCGGCATCCCAGTCGAAGACGCCGAGGATACCCATGTCTGTCCCTAAGTCGGTCAGATCTACCTGTCTGGACAAGTACGCCCACCATTTCCATGAGGGCACGCGGCGTTGTAGCCGGCAGGCCGCCAACCGCGGTGCCCCTGGTAGAACATCAACCTGCGTGCCAGCTTAGGTCCTTTGACTTCACGCGCCTCATTGCCATGGGCAGGGCGTTTGTCCGTGGGTGATGATGGGACCCAGGCGAATACTGACATTTCCGATTAAAGGGTAGCCGACTTTCCTGCCATTGCAGAGTAGTAGCGAACCAGCGCTGACTTCGGGTTGTCGTGTTTCCAACTTCCACGCCAGCGGGCCTGAGTTCTATCTGAATTCTGTATCTGGACCGTTCTTGTCTTCTGTCTGTTCGCCCTACCGCCACGTTCATGGAACGTCGCGGTGGGTTTCGGGGGTTCATCCTTGCGCGTTCCGACATTTCTCCATTCCATCGCAGGGTGGAGCTGGTTAGGCTGCCACTGGGCCGCCTCGTAGAGGATTTCCCTCTTTACATTGTGCGCATGCCATCATGCCGCACCGGGACTTGTGCCCCAGATGACAGACGAAACACACGTCATCCTCCCATGTCGGGGGCTTTCTGACGGCCTCCCATAGGACGGCGTCTATCCTATCCTCGTGGTAGCCGGCTCTGATCAGCTGGTCCCCCAAGAAGCACCAAGAGGATCCCCGAAGCACCCAAGACGCTCAAAGACTGTCCTGGGCCCGCCAAGATGCCCCCAAAACGCTCAAAGAAGCATCCAAAAAGCTGCCAAAACACTGCCGAGGAGACTCCGAGAGGCATTTAAGAAGCTCCTGGCTCTTATGTTCGCTCTTTTCGTCCTCCTGTTCCTCCTCCTCCTCCTCCTCCTCCTTCTCTTCCTCCTCGTCCTCATCCTCATCCTCATCCTCATCCTCATCCTCATCCTCATCATCCTCCTCCTTCATCCCCTTCCTCATCCTCATCCTCCACCTCTTCATCCGCCCATTCATGTCCCTCTTCCTCCTCCCTTCATCGTCCCCCTCCCCCACCTCCTCATCCCTCTCGTGTTGTTCCACGTGTTCCTCTTCCTTCCTCCTCCTCCTCCTCCTCCTCCTCCTCCTCCTCCTCCTCCTCCTCCTCTTCCTCCTCCTCCTCCTCGCCCTCCTCCTCCGTCTCACCGTCCGTTTCCTCCTCCTCTTTCTGCACCTCCTTTTCCTGCTCTCCTCTCCTCCTCTCCTCCTCCTCCTCCTCTCCTCTCCTCCTCCTCCTCCTGATCCTCCTCCTCCTCCTCCTCCTCCTCCTCCTCCTCCTCCTCCTCCTCCTCCTTCTCCTCCTCCTCCTCCTCCTCCTCCTCCTCCTCCTCCTCCCCTTTCTCCTCTGATTCCTCCTCCGCCCTCCCCCTGTTGGAAGACGACGACTGCCCTGCCTTTTTTCTACTGCGTGGTCCCCCACGTACCTGAGGAGGGAGGGTAACTCGCCTGGGCATCGTTTCTGGATGGGATGGTGGGGCTAACTTTTTGGTCCGCGGTTCCGAGGCGAGAGACAGGGAGCGAGCACAACGTCCGGGGCGCGGCACGTCACTAATTGGCGCGAGATTGCCGCGGATTCCAGCGGACAACACTCGCAGCGGCGCATGCACATGCCAGGGACAAAATGCCCCTCATTGAGACGCATTTCAGCGTCTGCTGGTGACCGGCCCAGTCAGCCCGGCTGGTGGGGAAGCAAAAGGCGCGGCAACGAGGCGGCAAAGGAACCGGGAGGAGAAGTCGCCCTTGCGGCGCCAAGCTCCAGCCGAACCGCAACCGTAAGCGAGGCCAAGACGGACAGCAAAACACTGTAACAAGCCGCGGGCAGAACGCGAGTCCGAGCGGCCAATGACCAGACGGAGCCCACGTGTGTGCACACAGACCCAGGCCGTCCAAGACCTCGACTGGTGGGGTTACGCAAAGCGTCTAGAATTTGGAACGTCATTTTGAATGCATCTGATCTTTCGCAATCTCTCATCCGCGTAATGACATGTTTTCGCCTGCATCCCATAACGACCGTAATCAAGAGGCACTACGAGAATCTGCACGTCTGCGTGGTGCGAATTCTAGAAACCTCTCCTGCTTATCGAAGAACCAGACCGTTACACCGGAATGCAGACCTCCGACGACCGTCCGAAGCTTGCAGCGTCAGCAGATCGTGTACAAAGTCTCGCCCAAAGGGCCTGCAGCCATCGCGTTCGCGGCGTGCTGCGCCGCCCACGCGCCCCGGCGTTCTTGACTCCAAGAAAGAACCCGGTCGCCGTAGCAGTGTGTGCGTGCTTGCCTCGACTCCCTGCATCCTGCGGAGGATGCTTCTGGGTATGTCTTGCACGGAGCGACCGGTTCTGCGCAGCTCTCTTTTCGAGCTGTTTCGTGGATATGAACGTGCTGCACGCTCATACTCTTTGAGGAATCGCCTGCTGAACTTCCTCCGAGAGGAATGAGTTGGAACTCCTTTTGTTGCTCAAAGTCGAAGGCATACTTTTCTCCCGCGAATGTGCAACATTTCTGTAAGACAAGCATCGTCTGATGGTTCAAGGACGAAGAGCGGCGACACGAGATCGCAGTGCCCAAATCTGCTTACGCGCAGCAAAGCCAATACGCCCAAGGCCCCTAGTGGATTAACTTAAAACCAGCGCGCCCTCTTGCAGAAGCACACTCGCCATCGTCAACCCGATATTTCTTCCTCGCAGGGCTTGGTTAGACGGCTGCTGTCTCAGTTTGGAGACGCAAAAAGAGGGAGTCTGCACACTTTCGGAATGCAACCTGCATTGCATTTGAAAAAAATGCTGAGGTGCAGTCTCTCTCCGAGCAGATTGAAAAGCACACTGCGCAGACCTTCTCTCTTTGAGTCCACACAGCGTCGACGCAGGCCTCGACATTCGCGCAGGTGGTCAATGTATTGTCAATGTATGGTTAACTGATGGTCAATGTATGGTCAATGTATGGTCAAATTGTGGGTTTCACGAGAGAACTGCTCGTCTGGGAGGGTTGTGACCCCTCCCTTTATTTAAAGGGCCCCGGGACACACAAATAAATACACACAAATAAAAACATTCCCCATATTTTCCCATACCGTCTGGGTTTTTGTCTTCCCCCCCACTTCCCATACTTTCCCATATCTTCTGGGGAATCGCCGATGAATTGTGTCTGTGTGTTTCTTTCCCTCCTGATTGTTTTGCGAAATCTGGCATGAGCAGCGACCCTTTGGGCCGCCCGTGGCTCCTCCACGTAGGTGGCGACCGGCGGCTCCGCCCACGCGCCCGGGCCGCCAGCGACCAGCGGCTGCTCCTCGCCATCGTCGCTGCCTGCCCGCCGCAACTGGGCCCCAGGAGAGCGGGAAGCGGACGGAAGAGGGAGGAGAGAGAGAGAGAGGAAGGGCGAGGGAGGAGAGGGAGGAGAGAAATAACGGGAGGCAGGAGGGAGAAGAGGGGGAACGACGAGAAGGAGGAGGAGGAGGAGAAAAGGGAGGGTGGGGAAGGCTGAGAGGCAGGAAGGGGGCGATTGGATTGGACATGAATTTAGCGGTGGGTGGATACCAAACCAGACTTGAAGGCCGCCAAAGCTTATCTAGCACCTATCCCTCGCCTTTGGCTACACCGTCGCCGCCTCGTCGCAGCCCGTCGTCTGGGCCCCTGTGCACCATATCACATTGATAGTACAATATACATTTCACCACATACACTGTACAACTAGCTTGCACCACATAGAATGCACACCATAGATTGCATAAGATAGCTTGCACAACAGTAACTGCAATACATAGTCAGGGGCCCCCAAGACAGCCCCAAGACGGCCCAAAGGGCCCCCAAGAAGGTCCCTACACGGCCCAAGGGAGCCCCCAAACGGCCCAAGAGGCGCCGACATTAGCCCAAGAGAGCCCCAAGACAGCCCCATGACGGGCCCAATAAGGGAAACAAAAAACGACAATTCCAGCCCAAGAGATCCCAAAAGGACTCCAAGGAGCCCCAAGTCCCCCAGGATGTCTCCAACAGGCCGCCTGACGGCCCCCAAGAGGCCTCGAAACTGCCCCCAACAAGACCCCGAGAGGGTTCCCACGATATCCGAACCATCATCCGAACCATCACCATCATCATCATCATCATCATCATCATCATCATCATCATCATCATCATCATCATCATCAGCATCAGCATCAGCATCAGCATCATCATCATCATCATCATCATCATCATCAGCAGCAGCGTCAACATCATCGTCATCATAATAATCAGCATGATTATCATCATCGCCATCGTCATCATCATCATCAGCATTAGCACCATCATCCTGGTACTATTATACATCGTCGTCAACATCACCATCACTCCCATCATCCGCAGCATCACTAGAATCATCATCACAACAACCGTCCTCGTCATCATCATCAGCACCAGCACCATACATCCTACATTATACATCGTCACCATCATCATCAGCATCATCATCAACAGCAGCAACAACAGCTGAACCAACAGCTGAACCATCAGCATCGGCATCATCGCGAGCATCATCATCCGCATCCTCATATTCATCCTCATCATCACCATCATCATCACAATCATCAGCATGAGCATCGCCAGCATCAACATGATCATCACCAACACCATCATCATAATCATCATCACCATCGCCATTGTCGTCGTCATCGTCATCGTCATCATCATGGCAATAAATATGAGATTTAGCATCAGCATCAGCATCACCGTCAGCATGATCATCGTCATCCACATGCTCGTCATCATCATAATCCTCATTATCATCGTCATCACCATCATCATCAGCATCATCATCGTCGTCGTTGCCATGCTTTTCATCCCTGGCAAATACGACCTCGCACGCTGGGTTTGCACGGTGGCGGGACTTGCCGTGGGCGGATGGATAGCTACCACAACATTTGCGTTCGCACATAGAACGCAGAACGTAGATTGCACCATGCACGTTGCGCAACATCAGTTGTACAGAACAGTTTGCTCAACACAGTTCACCACATTGATTGCGCAACACGGATTGCATCACATGTGCAATATATCTATATGTATACATATATGTACATTGCACCCGATTGCACCGCATGTGTTGCTGCATGTCGGTTCTCTTTTTCAAAAAGAAAAAAAAAAACCCGGGAGTTCACGGCCCCTCTTTTTAGTGATGCAATTTCCTTATGCTTCTGCCCCATCGTCCATCAAAAATCTGAATTCACACTACCCCATCCAGGCCGGTATCGGCCCCCCCCGCCACCCCCTGGAAAAAAAACTACGCGCGCACACTCGTTTACCTCAAATCATAAGTTGTCAAGAATCCGTTTGGACAAATCCACAAAGTCATCACGCGCGCGCCCATGTCAACATCGCACCAAATCCAACGTGTTCGCAAGCGCTTCGAAGTAAAAACCTAAAAACCGAACGGGGTGCAAAACAAAATGCAAATTTCCTGTCCGCGCGCCCACGCTAAAACCATACGAAAAAAACATAGGATTCTGATGAATTCTGCCAAATCCTGCGATCTCATGTCACCGCGCGGTGCACCCGAGATGCTCCTGCCAATATGCGCCGAGGGCGCGGATCCCTTGCAACAAAAAAAAAAAAAAAAAAAAAAAAAAAACGGACCACAAACGCGCACCGCCGCGCGCGCATGATCAGTCTGACGAATTTGTTGAACTGCCGCGCGCGCGGATTTCTTTTTTTCAGCCTTGTCAGCATCAACGCGATCACCTGCCTCATCGACAAGTGGACATCAGCATCGTCAACGTGTTTGCCAGCATTGACGCCGTTATCGTTCGTGCCGTCGCCTCTTGAACATCGTCGTCGTTGGTGCCATATTCCTCATTGGACGTCATCTTGTCATCGCGCACGTCCAAGTATCGTTGATATGCTCACCTTCATCATCGACTCAGGGCGGCGACCATCGGCAGTGAGGATGTTATCATCAATATTGTCATCGGTGGCGACGCTGTCCCCCGCATCATGAATTGTGTCAAACATGTTGCGGGCGGGAGGCTGTGATGTTTGCGCGAGCAATGGAAATGACTACTTCAAGTTCAGCAGAGTGGGTTCTCCTCTCTAAAAAGAGAATAGACTTTACCACCCACCCACCTGGCGTTATCGCCCCCCTTTTTCGGGTATGTAAATCATATATGATTCTGACCACATGTCAATCCGAAATATGAGTTTAAACTATCCCAGGGAGGCCGGTATCGACCCCCCTGAGGTTCCCTTGTAAAAAAAATACGCGGGGACATCTTTTGTTCTAACATAACACTTTTCCACAAATCCCTTGGACAAAAAAAGACGAAGTGTACACGCGCGTGCCGCCGCGCGCATGCCGAAATCCTCCAAAAACCTTCGGTGTCGGAAAAATGTCGCAATCGAGTTCCAAAAAGACCTACAAAAACACAGGGCCTCGCAACACTGATTTGCTAAAAAAACTTACGCGCGAGCTCTTGCGAAATCTTAAGAAAACCATTGGTTGTTCAAGATTGACACAACATGCTACCAAACGAGCTTCGCGCGCGCGCATGTCGAAATCTGTCGAACGCCCTTGCGCGAGTGCCGTCGCGAGAATCCTCTGCAAAAAACGGGACGAAATGAAGACGCGCGCGTCGTCGCGCGCGTATGCCGGAAACCTTCAAAACCCATCGGTTTCGGAAGGATGTCAAAATCGTGTGTCCAAAAAGCCACAAAAACACAAGGTTTCGCAACACGGATTTGCAAAAAAAACGTGCGCGCGCGCTCTTGCGTCGTCGTCGTTGTCGTCGCCGTCCTCCCTCCTCCCGCCTCGTCGTCGTCGTCGCCTACGTCGTCCTCTGCCTTTCCTCGTGTTCGTCGTCGTCGTCCTCTTTGGCGTCGTGGTCGTTTCCGTCGTCGTTGTCGCCGTGGTCGCCCTTCCTCCTCCTCCCTCGTCGTCGTCGTCGTCCGTCGTCGGCGTGTCATCGTCGTCCCTCCTATTTCGTCGCCGTCGTCGTCGTCGTCGTCGTCGTTGTCGTCGTCGTCTTCCCTCCTCCCTCGTCGTTGTCGTCGTCGGCGTCGCCATCCTTCCTCCTTTTTTGTCGTTCGCGTCGTCGCCGTCCTCCCTCCTCCCTCGTCGTTGTCGTCGTTGTCGTCGTTGTCGCCGTCGTCGTCCTCCCACCTCCCTCGTCGTCGTCTTCGTTGGCGTCGCTGTTGTCGTCGTCGTCGTCGTTGTCTTCGTCGTCGTCGTCGTCGACGTCGTCGGCGTCGGCGTCGTCGTCGTCGTCATCGTCGTCGTCGTCGGCGTCGGCGTCGTCGTCGGTGTCGTCGTCGTCGTCGCCGTTGTCGTCGTCGAAGTCGTTGGAGACGTCGTCGGTGTCGTCGTCGTCGGTGTCGGCGGCGCCGTCGTCGTCGTTGTCGTTGTCGTCGTCGGCGCTGGTGTCGTGGCCAAGTGCCATGTGGCACCTACCGTCACGGTCTTGTCTTGCGACCAAGTTGCGGGTGGGATGGTGGGATGTGTGCACGAGCAGCGGAGAGGACAGCTTCAAGACGGTCAAAGTGGATTCTCTTTTCTTAAAACAGAATAGACCCTAACCCCCCCCCCCCTGGCGTTATCGGTCCCCCTTTTCGGGTATGCAAATCATATATGATTATGACCACACGTCCATCCTGAATCTGAATTTACACTATCCCAGGGGGGCCGGGTTCCCCCCCCCTGAGGTTCCCTTTAAAAACACTATGCGGTGACATTTGTTGCTCTAACGTAACACTTTTTTCGCGAATCCCTTGCAAAAAACAGAACGAAGTGCACACGCGCGCGTCGTCCCGCGCGCATGCCGAAATCCTTCAAAAACCTTTTGTGCCGGAAGGATTTCGCAATCGAGTTTTCCAAAAACATACAAAACACAGGGGTTCGTAACACTGATTTGATACAAAAGCTTCCGCGAAAGCTCTTGCGAAATCTTAAGAAAACCATTGGTTTCTCAAGATTTTCACAACATGCTACCAAACGGGCTTCGCGCGCGCGCATGTCGAAATGGGTCCAACGCCCTTGCGCGTGTGCCGTCGCGAGAATCCTCTGCAAAAAACGGAACGAAGTGCAAACGCGCGCGTCGTCGCGCGCGTACGCCGAAATCCTTCAAAACTCGGTTTCGGAAGGATTTCCAAATCGCGCGTCCAAAAAACCTACAAAAACACAAGGCTTCGCAACACGGATTTTCAACAAAAGCGTGCGCGCGCGCTCTTGCGGCGTCGTCGGCGTCGTCGCCTACGCTGTCATGTGTCTCTCCTCGTGTTCGTCGTCGTCGTCCTCTTTGGCGTCGTGGTCGTTTCCGTCGTCGTTGTCGCCGTGGTCGTCCCTC